AAGCAGGAAGTTATAGTATTTTAGTAATAAATCAACACAGTCAGGTAAAATTATATTATCTTTAAAATGTTACTAAATCTATGCAATACGATTAAACTTTAGTATTTGATACTTTCAACCTGAATACCACCTTACGCAATACGTGTACTAAAAGTGTCTGAAGCTAAAGATTTAAAATATAGCAATCTCGTAATGAGAACTGTTGATCAGATAAAAAAAAACCCGCCTAATGGCTCAGCGATAAATCTGCAGGCTTATGACGCAAAAAATCGGGTTTCAATACCCGTGTTAGGCAGAGCACAGATAGCTCATTGTGAATCTTTTGTTCAAACCAGATACATTGTAAGTAGCACCATCCGCCTACACGCCTTTATTTAGCCGAATAGCTCAATTGGTTATGGTGGATATAACGTCTTGCCTTTACAGCTGAAAGTGCGAAGTGTATTCAGCGGTGTTTGGATTAGAAGTTAGAACCTACCAATCCGCAAGCTACACGCTAACCACTCGGCCACGCCTGACCTACAATACAATAAAAAATGAATTATTAGCGAACATGAAGAATTCTGTTTATTTGAAAGATACATTCAAATAAGTTTAAGTATTTTACACTCACAAAGAACTTTCAGACATGAAACTTATGGTGAATATAATCTAATTTGATGTATTTAGTAAACATTTCGGAAATCCTGATTGAAGATGCAGCTCTACTTTTCATGTTTACTTTATGTTACTATGCTGTCAGTTACGAGCGATGCTTCGATTTGTAATAATTTATGATTTTTTTTTAAATTATTAATTCAATTTCAACCACGTTCATCACACCTTTTCGGAGAAGTACAGGGACAAAAAGAAACCTTTGTATCTGCAGATCTTTTGTGGCGTCCACCAGTGGCTTGAGCCCTACAGAATGCTAACATTCATGGTTTTCTATCTCTGTGTTAGACACAACGAAAATGGCCCATTACTTCTTCGCCAAATTTTTTTTAGCGAACAAATCTATAAAGTACAGAAACTAATCAGCAGTAACATTAATGTGTACAGCTTATGAAGAGTGGAACAGTGGGAAAACTTAGGATGTTCAAACTCAAATGTATTCCCTCATTTACATACCATTTCATAAATATATACAAACCTTTATAAATATAATGATTCATAAATACCTATAGTCACATACAGCTAGCTATACTTTGTTACATAGTACATATCTAATACCAAACTATCCAAAATAAAGCTTTAAAGTACAGTTATTTTAGAGTTATACATTAAACAAGTATACTTCTAATTTTTCATTTATTTTTTTAAGAGAGAGAGAGAAAGCGTAATTTCCAATCAAGAAGCTCTTGTTTTTAGATAAAGAAAATATTAACAATAATAATATACATAATTCTTACTTAATTAATTTTACGGTAACGTTATTCACATTTACCTTGTCTGTGTTAGACATTGGTCACATTTTGTGTACGTTTCATATATGTTGTGGCATACAATTTGTCAACCAGAACAAACTTGCATCGTGCATATATATTGGAAGACTAGAACTGTATATGCTATATGCTACTAGTACTCTATAGAGTCAACACTTTTTTCATGTTAACTTAAAAAGTTTCTGCTGTAAACTCTGAATTATATACCTATTACACTTATGATGTGTATGTGTGTTTCAATTGATATATCTTGATGGAAAACGTATATAATGTTATTTCCTAATACGAAATTTAACAATCATAAATGATTAGTCCTTTATTATTTTAATCCGTGTATTCAACTTTTCAAGTAGTAAGAAGTTCATCAAGTTTTCTATAACCATACATGCATGAATACATTGTTTATAAGGTCAGTCTGTATTGACAAACAAACTTACCTACATTTTGTATACACAAACTTTGCAACCATAAGTAATAATTAACACTGAATTATAATGTGGAAAACTCTAATATAAATTGGATTATGACAAGAAATACCCAACTTAAAATGGATCATGACTAGAAAAACCCTGACCTAAAGTGGATTTAATGAGAAATACACTGACATAAAGTGGATTATGACGAGGAAGATCCTGACTTAAAGTGGGTTATAACGTGGTAAACTCTTGTCTTAAAGTTGATTACGACGAGGAAGACTCTGACTTAAAATGGATTATAACAAGGAAATATTTTCTTAAAGAATACTCTGATTTAAAGTGAATTATGACAAGTGGATTATGAAGAATATGATCTTTACTTGAGGAGGATTAGAACGTGAAAGACTCTGACTTCAAATCTTGATCTTACGACTGAATTTATTGCCTAATAGTTTATAATAGCACCACACTGTTTCTTTGTACTTCGTTAACGCTTGATTCAACTCAGTTAACTTTATCACTCATTTCTTTCTTAGTAATAATCATTGTTGTTTCAAATTCAAGTTAACCTCATTGAGGTTGTTTCCAATTATATTTCTGTAATGACTGAAACTTTATATTTAAAAAATGTTGTTTATGAGATCATTTATGATGGAGAAGGAGATTTTAGTAGACACAGCGGATGATATTTTTTTCTTCATCCAATTTCCTTCAAGCAAAATCCAGTAACGTAAAAGGTCTTGCAAATTCAACATTGTCTTTCAATACCATATCACTTCCTTTGGATCAGTAGAAACGTACACCTCGGAGAGTAGTGCTGTCCCCTTGGGCCATGTGCTTCCGTAACTTCATTTCGTAAATTCCTCCTTGCTTCATTATAATAAAATGTACTTGTGGAAAGAGAGGCTGTTGCCTCTTTGGACCATTTGGTTCCGTAACTTCATCTTGTAAATTCACCTTGCTTGATTATAATAAAAGAAAATGTACTTGTGGAGAGAGGCTACTGCTAGTGGAGAGAGAGGCTGCTGCTGCTTGTGGAGAGAGTGGCTGGCGTACTCTTGCATACTGATAGTTAAATAGCAATCAAATATATGTATCGTGTATCTGGTTCTTTATAGTAAATCGTATCTAAATGATTATTCCAGATGGAATGACTTTCTTAAACGTCATTCTAACTGGGCTGATAAGACAGAGACACGCCTTGAAACTACGTCTCTCCTGTAACGGATTTTTAATTGTTTCATACCAGAGATAAGCTGATATGTTTTGTATTACCCAAAATAACAGTTCAGTTATAAGAATATTTGACTTAAGGTAATTTTGTGGCCTCAAAATTCCGTAGTAACTACATAGTTTTAACTAAGTTTATACGCCAAATAATTATTGTGTCATTTATCCAAGTGAAAGTTTGATATCCTCACTCGCAGCGACTGACATTTCAGCATTACACACCATGCAATTATTACGCTTGATAACATCTTCTAGTGTAACCAATGTGTTTTAAAGTGTATTATAAAGTGGAAGCCCGACTTAAAGTGGATTATGATGAGAAAGACCCCGAATTAAAGTGAATTATAAAAAGAAAGTAATTATTATTCTATGAAACTTTAATGTTATCTCTTTTCTTCCGTTTATTTTATTTTCTTAAAACTATATACTACATTCCTGTTGTTATTTGTTACTTAAAATTTAAAACATTGAAAGCTGTCTCATTCAATTTTGACTGTTTCGTGGATCTTATTTGAAACTCATTCACTGAATTCTTCTATCAATATAACATACAATAATATGGTGTTACTGACAGTATAGTGTAATTTGACAAGTAAGCTTATAATACTGATATATTAACAACGAAATTAATGATTGAAATTAATTTAAAACCACAAGGTTTTTACAATACATGCAATAGGAAATACATATTTGTTTGTTGATTTTTATTTTCAATTTTACAGTTAATTTTGAATAAAGTTTAAAAAATACATGAGAATTTGAACAAAAATTTCCATTTCATATAGTCACTGATAAAAACATATTATTGAATTCGATAAATAACATAAAGTCATAGATGGCATAAAAAATCATTATAAATGTTAGCAAATACTTGACAACTACGCGGTTTGTTGTTTTCTCAGATGATGGACCTTTCTTATAGTGTTTTAAACTAAATTCAGAAACGTTTGTTGTATAAATACACTATATTTTTTTTTATGAGCAACTGTTTCTAATATATCCATGTCACAACTGCAGTACATACATAACACTATATTTTAAATATTATACGCACAGCAATAAGGTTAACATCTCCGCTGTTCTCTAAATTTGGATTAAGAAGCATTAATTATTATAATAAAAGTACCTTACAGCACTATATCTGACTTAAATTCACAAACATCTACTGTTTTGTTTCGTGGAAATAAACGTGTAATATTTCAATTTTTGGAAGTTCCCCCGGTACAATATGCATTGATTGTATTGCATTTTGTGAATTGCCGGGATTCGTCATATCATCGTACAATAATTTAATAATCAAATAGTACTGACAATAAACATATTTAATGGTGTTTTGTCAACCTGTTTTTAAGCTCATCGCTTCACACATTACGAACGAGGAGATTATTACTAACGCCCTCTGGTTACACTTTACAGCACGGTACTTCGTTTAGAGCACCAATCAGAAGATCACAATCCCACTCCACCCACCGCCTAGTTTAGTTGTTCTATGGCATCCCTGCGCGTACTCTTATTGGCGGAACGAGCTTTTACTTATAATATATTACCGATCGTTCGGGCTGTCTATCACTCCTCTTAATCTACCTTAGCGCACCGACGTGACAGATAACCCTACTCGACTGACAGTGTGTTCACTGTTTGTGCTATGATCTAAATTTTTACAATTCTCAAGAATTTTGCAGCTGTCGACAAATTATACCATCAGCAATATCGCACATTCTACTGTTCCACATAATTTTGTTCCGTGTGGGATTGGTCTTTATTTCGGTGCGACGTACCTGTTGTAGAAAGAGATAAATAAGTTATCTTTACGACTCACTGGCGGGCCGCTGCTTGCCCGCCTTCTCATCTTGAGCTGGGTCTGAACACCGCCGCTAATTTCCTCGTGTTGTACGCTGAGTTGATAGCTCACACAGTTACCGCTTGTTGGGTCGAAGGTTTTTAAACTTTATCTCTTGTGGTTAGCTAATCAATGAGCAATCGAGTTTAGAAACTGGTAACTTTTCGAAGTTCATAACAAATGCTGGGTTTTAATGGTAACATTTAAAATAGCCTCAAAGGAAGCTCTTTTTATATATATCTTTGGATATTTTAGGGCTTATACGGATACGCATTTAGTTTTTAGTGTGCTTCTGATTTTCCGACGTTTGAACAATGTCTGACGTAGCGGTAGTCTACGAGTCACAATCCGTAGAGGAGGAGTCCAGTTGCCCTTCCACTGCCACGCCGAGTAAAGTCAAGGATAATGAGAGTAATGCCGTAAGTAACGCGTCCACTGAGGTAACAGCGGGCGAGGCGTCCGAGGAAGATTACTATAAGCCCATCAAAAGGTTGTGTATGATTGAACTGAGGCCGGCTCCCAACCCTAACAAACCGTTGAATTCGTTTTTTATCAAAGATATTTTGAACCACAAATCAAGTGTCCGGCGATCCTCCAGCTTTTCCGAGAGGACGATTGTACGTCCTTGGGACTTGCACACTTCAGACGCCGCCAGACGTCGGCCAAGATCGGCAGATGAAGATTCTCGGTCTGAGAAGTCGGAAAGCGACACTCCAGAAAGTCCAGCCGCTACGTGCCTCCCAGCTTCACCCCTCGATGCTCTCTTTGAAATGACAAGCAAGGCGTTTGAAGGATTAGAAGCTGGTATAAAGTTAGGTGAGTACAAGAGCTTTCGATGAGCGTATATATAAAAAAGAAGGCATAAAATGAACTGTTGATTTTTAAAATTCTATTGATAATTCTGTAATTGCTCAATAAAAAACAATCATTGAATTAATGAAAGCTTTCTAGACCTAAGGTGGTTATTGAACAAAGACACGGGCATTACAACAAGGTCACGTATAATAGTATTTTAAACTAGTGTTTGACAGTGCGAAAATGCAATTGCTTAAAGTCTTTTATATACTGATATATATGTATAATATACCATTGTAGTGTTTCGTTTATAAAGATATTTATGAAATGGTGCACACATACACATATAAACACACACTAGTGTTTTCACTATCATAAATGTACATTGTTGCGCAAGAAACAAAAAACATTATAAACAGAAAGAAAAATGAAAAGCACTTTTAGATTAACATTCAAAATTGTAAATTTTCGTTTATGGATTAGAATTTAGAGCACTTCGTTTAAAATATTTATATGCAGATTCTATTAGAACATTTATAAGAACAAAATTTCATGTTGATCTGACGGAGGTACTACAGTAACAAATGGGCGGAAAAAATCAAGCTGAAACTTTTCTGTTGTATTTCATCAAGTAGCTAAACTTAATTTAATTTTAACTCAGCTGACAGACAACTATTGCGAATAGCTTCAAAAGTAAGTCTTTTAATGATGTAGAACAACATTGTTGTGTAAATATTCACACGATGTCAGTCAAAACTTACAGTGGATAAAATCTAATTATTTTTTTTTCTTTTTGCCAGGGACTTTCAACAAACGTCCTTGGCTGAAGTGCTTAGACTAACAATATGCATGTAAAATCTACTGATAGCGTTTAGTTCGGTTTCACCGAAGTGACTCATTTACAACAGGCTGTTAAATGGTGTAGCTGTGTAACATTTATTTCTGTTTCACCGAAGTGACTTATTCACAGTAGGCTGTTAAATGGTGTAGCTGTGTAACATCCAGTTCGGTTTCACCGAAGTAACTCATTTACAGCAGGCTGTTAAATGGTGTAGCTGTGTAACATTTATTTCGGTTTCACCGAAGTGACTCACTTACAATAGGCTGTTAAATGGTGTTGCTGTGTAACATCCAGTTCGGTTTCACCGAAGTGACTCACTTACAGTAGGCTGTTAAATGGTGTAGCTGTGTAACATCCAGTTCGGTTTCACCGAAGTGACTCGGTTGGAGTTTGCTATTAAATGGAGTAGCAGTAATTATAAGCTTCAAAATTTATTCTGGAACACTTCATTTAGTTTTAGGATGACTGGTGAAGATAAATGAAGATCCATGAAATTCTCATTAAGTACCTAGAGTTATGTATATATCAGTCTTATTTATTTTCTCTTAACATCATCTTCAAGAATAATTTTATTAGGTATTAGCTGTATTGGTTTCAGACAACTATCACGTCCCAGTAGTTGTAGTTCTTCGAACATTTGAACAAACATCTTAAACATCTGACTACAGTTTTTAAACGCCCTTTGTCAGATGAGCCATTGTTCTGACAATGATTTTTACTTTTAACCAAGTTTAGATTCGTGGAAAAGTTGGACACCTGGTGTTTTACCACAGTTTAAAGTACATCCTCTATTACATGGGTCTAACAGAGTTATTCACTTTAGGATAAGAAAATGTGTGTACACGTTTGGAACATAAAATGACAGACAGCATACAGTGTGGATAACAGTGCCAAAAAAGAGTAAATGCTTGTATTCTTAACACCAACTACACGTGTCTTTTTGAGCGCCATCTGTATAATAAAGTGTGGAGTTTCAAACTCCAACCCCGTTTCAACCTAATGGCGGCTTCTAGGATGTATCTTATTCTAGGTTTTATGATGTGCCCTAGTGGTTTGAAACATGTGGTAAGACCAGGCATTCTGTCTTACAGTTTAGTATTTCATGGGCTAAGCGAAGGAAGCATATAAAAACTACGTGTGTTTTCAAGTGTATTTACAAGAGATTTCGATTTGTTTAGGATAATACAGAAGTTTGGTAAATACTTTCTGTGAAAGTTCCGGCTCGCACTAAACTCTGTAGTTAGAACATTTACCAGTTTACAGAAAGGTTTAGACAAAACTGATTAAAAAGAACTGCTAACTGTGGCCTTTTGTTTATTCATATCTCATAATTCAGATCATGTAAACGTTTTATAAGGTCACCGAGTTTCTTCGGAATTTTTAAATCGCCCGACCCAAAAACTTGTTAACATTCTTCTGTGCAAAAAAAAAGAAAAAAAAGAGTGTATTTCATGTTCTATTATGCATGGGTTCCGAACTTTCTCAACCAAAGGTCCCCCCAGAACATGCCGCATCGTTACTGAGCCCCACACCAACTCACTCAATGGATTTGTAGATACTAAGTACTCTATCACTATTGTGTAACTACTACAGCCCATTCTCCCAATTTAGGATTCCCTTGTATAATGGATAATGTTGATTAACTCGTGCTACTTAGACTGTTTTAACGATAGCATCACTTCGTTTATCTGATCTAATTGATAGTATAATGATAACACAAGTGAGAAAGAAACTTACCAAAGTACAAACTTTTATCTTATAGCTCCATCTCTTGACCGATATGAGATCTAATTACAGCCGCGGCTATTGAGGATCCCCTCTTGTTGAAATAATGCTTTCGATGCTGTGTTTAAAATGTGCCGAGTTTTCCCATTGTGCTGAATGGCTGATTAAGATTCACATTAGGCGGAGCTTTACCTTGAATGGAATGTCATATAGTTTTTCAAATAATTCAACGTTTATCTAAAATGATTTCGAAAAGAGGAGGATTCGTAGTTTTGTGAAATGGAAACGTGAAATTTGTTTTTTTCGATAGCTATTCTGTTAACAACATGCAGATATGTGCAGCTAAAGTAACTTATATGGACTTCCACGTTCGGTTATTTGTTTCAGAGAAAAAGCCACATTGAGTTATCTGCTGTGTCCACCGCAAGTAATCGAACCCCAAATTTTAGCGATGTAAGACCGTAAATGTATCGCTGTCCCACCGAGGACTCCACGTTCAGAATAGTGTATAGAAGTACAAAGGAAATATATCGGTGTCTAGCCATAGCAACACAACGACTTTAAATAAATTCAAATGCATAAAATAGTAAACACATGGTTAAGGTATGAAGATGTAAAAAAAAAAAAAAACTGAAACAGGACATATTATGTACTGCTTTTAGAGCGTTTTATTATCCACATACATAATGTAAAGCGCTCTATAACAAGAGGTGAAACTATAACACCAGTTTCTGAAAAATATCCACATACATAATGTAAAGCGCTCTATAACAAGAGTGAAACTATAACACCGGTTTCTGAACAGTATCCACATACATAATGTAAAGCGCTCTATAACAAGAGGTGAAACTATAACATCGGTTTTTGAACAGTATTCACATACATAATCTGTTCAGAAACCGGTGTTATAGTTTTATTCTTGTCAAATCTTTAATGTTATCATGTTGATGTATGATTCACAACCAACCTAGAAATTATTAATAAATTGATGTCTTTCAGTCAGTTCCTATCTCTTATGTTTTAATTCTGGCCAACACTACAACCCTATACTGTACTTCATGTATTTTTGTAGTGCGAGTAGTGTACAGGGTGTCTGAAAAGTCTGGAACCATAGGCACTTCAGCGAATTTTACAGAATGTGCTCCACATGCTTTTCTTGTAATTCGAAGCGAGGTTGGATTAACAGTAAAATTAAATCGACCTTCTCATTCTTTAACAGAGCCATAATCAGTCACGTATCTGAAATTAAGAAAAGCTGCAAATCACCTATGGTTCCAGACTTTCCGGACACCCTGTATTGATATATTAGATTTATTGTTGTTTTTCTGTACTCACAATGCATTCCAGTGCCTCTTAACCTACATCTCTTTCTTTAATCATTTGACACTAGTTATTTTACCAAATCCGGAATGTATGTTTCTAATCTTTTTGTGGTCTTGATTAGCACTAAATTTCACCAGTAAAAAATACAGTAAATATACAAGAGCTCTGCCAGAGATCATATATCACCAACGTAAGTCTATTAATGCTCTTAAGTTTATTTTAGACTTTATCACATTAGTGTAGAAATAATAATAATAATAATTAACTGATGATCAAGCCCCTTCTATGCATCAAAAGTATTAAAACTTTCACCTCACTAAATTTATTATGGTCTCAAAGATAAACTTAAACAACATACCAAAGTGTTATTGAAGATATTACAAGAATATTACTGTGTTGGTATTGTTGAGAAACTGTTTCCTAAGGAACATGCAAGAATGTATTAGTATTGTTCAGAAACTACTTCCTAAGCACCATACTGGGTATTATACTATGGGATACATTGAAGCTAACAAGAATCAGGCACATTTAATCAGTATATATGTTAACTCAATCTCAGGATCGGTGATTCACCGACAAAATAATCATGGCGTGTCAAAATTATGAAAGACCGAAATGAAATGTTATTACAGTGTTCATACAAATTATTGTACTAAAATTGCGAAATGTAAAATACCAAATAAACAAATAACGAAACATAAAAATGAGCCAGCTGCTTCTGTCTTTATGTAAAACAATTTAAGTAAATTGCGGAATCTAAAATACTAAGACAAAGAATGAAATGAAAGCACTTTCAATAAGTAGGTACCCAATGAAAAGTGTGAGGACCTTGTGGAAACGAAAAACAATTGTGAAAGCTTTAGATTGAAAAGTAGAGTGACAAGTGTTTTGTTTTTCCTCTACTCACTAAGGAACAATATGAAAACCAGTTACATTAAATAAAGAGACTATGGTAGCTCATGGGGACAAAGTGGCTCTGACAAGTAAGCAATATCGTAGACTTAAAAATGTACGTTTGCTAAATGTAAAACTGACACTGTTCATATTAAACATTTTTCCATAAAGAAGGATAATTTGATCCTATATGCATTTGACCACGAGGCACAAATATGTAAAATGTAAGTCGATTAAA